AAGACAAAAAAGTTTTACATAAATGTTAAAGGCACGCTTTTAAATTAAGTACCCAATTGCATTTTGAAGTTATTTATAGCATGTTCTTACAAGCTAATATCTATTAAAATATGATTGGCCACAAGCTTTAGAAAAGAAAACATGAGAATTCTTGTGATCTGTCTGCAATGTATTAATATTGAAACATGAAAATTAGTCTGTGTATAAACTGTCAAAACAAAGCTCAACATCCATATGTATGCACTCTTAGTAAAGGTAGATTTATTTATGCATTTCTGTATATCCACTTTCTTTTATGAAGGAGTCACTTGTTGGTAAGTTATTAACTGCCTAAATGGTTGCCTTACTTTTGAAGTGCCACTAACTAGAATTATTTTGGCCACGTTCAAAGGTAAAGGAAACCCTCGTTTATCTTTACTAAACATCTTTTATGTTTAGTCCAGTAGTGGGAATATTCTGCCACTACACTAACACTGCCAACATAAATATTAATAAAAAAATAAGAGGAGATCCTGGAATCATTACTTAAATGTCAAGTTCATGTTCCTTGTTAAGTTTATTTATAAAATTTTTGGTGACATAATCCTACATACTAAGCCCAAATTGAAATGTCGTCATTTTTCTCCAACAGAAAAGAAAATAATCCTAACAAGTAAAATTCAAATACTTAGGAATAACAATAAAATACAACCATTAAGAAAATATTTAATCTGATTATTTCAAAATATTTAAACCATATTTTGTATTAATTAATTTTTAGGCTAATGCCTACATTTTGAATATGATATGATTTAAACAAAGCATTAAGAAGACATAAAAAGTGAAGAATAAACTTGAAAAATTCATTAAGGTAAAAAAAAGTTAAAGTTCTTCTATCTATATGTTATTTGATGTGGTTCTACTGTACTTACCTAACTGCATTAAAAACTTAGACTTCTGAGAGCTATGCAAGGATCCCATTTATGCTTTGTAATATATACACAAATTAGGTTAACATATCATAAACCTAAAAGTACTGTATGCCTAAATATAAGGTAAGTATTTTAACTTCCTGAAATCAGTTGTTAGTAAAAAGGAGATTCTCTCATATTTGAGTCCTTACATAGTATCTCATAAGATGTACTTTCATTTACTTAATATTAAACAAAAAAAGTATTTGAGAAGAATGCATTAGCTCTGGAGAACAATATGGAGGTTCCTAAAAAATTACAAAAAGAGTAAAACATTTATTTGTAAAGGTATATATAACCCTATGTTCATTGCAGCATTATTCATTGTAGCATATTTCAACACATGGAAACAACTAAAGTGTCCTATAGATGATTGAATAAAGAAGATGTTGTACATATATACAATGTGATAATACTTTGCCATAAGAGATGAAATACTGCCATTTGTGACAACATGATTGATCTTGAGACTATCATGCTAAGCAAAATAAGTCAGAAAAAAAGTCATGAATCACATGATTTCACTCATATGCGAGATATAAAAATGAAAGTAACAAATGAACAAATAAGACAAATAAACAAAAACTCATAGACACAGACAGCAGTATAGTGCTTACCAGAGTGAAAGCGGATTGGGGGAGAGGTAGTTAAAGGGGTCAAATATATGGTGACGGAAGATCTGACTTTGAATGGTAAATACACAATGCAATCTATGTTATAAAAGGCCTGTGGCCATCACGCCCTAACATGAAATGACTGAACAACAGGTCACCAGGAGATGCTGGCGTACCTTTTGGTCCCCCTCATCCGGTCCACGACCCCCATCCGGCCCACGAGCCACTTGAAGCGGTGGGGCAAGTTGGGCTTGCGGGGCTTGCATGGGGCTGGTGGAGCTTGTGCTGGGCCTGTGGCTTGTGCAGGGTGGGTCTGGGGTCCCACTGGCATGGTGGGTCTGGGTCTTGCGTGATTTCGCATGCTGGGCCTTTAGTATACAGATGATGTATCACAGAACTGTACATGTGAAGCCTAAACAATTTTATTAACCAACTAGAGGACTGGTGCACGAAATTTGTGCACTCAGGATGGTGATCCTTCAGCCCAGCCTGTGCCCTCTTGTAGTCCAGGAGCCCTTGGGGAATGTCTGATTGCCATGGAGGTGGGAGATGTTCCCATCACTGACACTGTGCTTGCCAGCTGTGAGCCCGGCTTCTGGCTGAGCAGCATTCCCCCTGTGGGAGCACACGGATCACCAGGGGGCAGTTCCTGCATTGAGAGTCTGCCTCCTGGTGGTCAGTGTATGTCATAGTGACTGGTCCTTCCGCCAGTCAATTTGCATATTAGCCTTTTATTATATAGATGTCACTCCAACAAATTCATTTCAAAAAATGTTTTTAATCAACTTCATTAGAAATTGACTTTAGGATGTTAACAGAAATAACTTAATAGAATTTTTTTAAAAAGTGGGGGGAAAATCAACACATTAATTATTCCTAAGTTATAACCTTAAAATTAAAAGTGTTGGATGTTGTTACAAAGACTTTCAAAACTGCTTTAAAAAAAGTAAACAAATAGCATTTTCTCAGAAAAAAACACAAGTTAACAGTTGCTAATTGAGGGGGTGCAACTGGTGGCTTAAGGTGATCTATTTTTCATTGTTTACCAATTTGTTCCCTTTACTTTTTAAACTCCGTGAATGCATTACTTCTAACAAAAAGGGGGAGGAGATTAAATTCAGAAACAGAAACTACAGCCCCATAAAATATAAATCACAGATCAAACTTGAGTAATTATGTTGCAGTGGTTCTCAACCTTTCTAATGCTGCGACTCTTTAATACAGTTCCTTATGTTGTGGTGACCCCCAACCATAAAATTATTTTCATTGCTACTTCATAACTGTAGTTTTGCTACTGCTATGAATAGTAATGTGTGTATCTGTATTTTCGGATGGTCTTAGGTGACCCTACTAGCAGTTCTGTTGAGAACTGCTGCTGTAGAGCCTAAGATCATCGGAAAACACAGATATTTGCATTACCATTCATTAACAGTAACAAAATTACAGTTATGAAGCAGCAACAAAAATAATTTTATGGTTGGGGATCACCACAACATGAAGAACTGTATTAAAGGGTCACAGCATAAGAAAGGTTGAGAACCACTGTGTTAGAGAGATCATGAATATATAATTATAAGATACATACAAAAAAATAAAACAAAAAACCGCAGCCCCACTGTTTTGCAAATGGTTTATACATAAAATATTCAGTGTCAGATCATGCATGCATTCAACAACTGCTGTAATTTAAACAAAAGAGACAGAAATGAAGATGCACCCTGGATTTTCATGCTACATGGATGATGCAAAGAGGTTCTACTGATGATAAAAACACCACAAAGATTCATGGATAGAGTTTGAGCAAGATGATTTTATAAAATGTGAGCATGGATAAAGCAATTCTTTTATATTATTGAACTGCTTCATAAAATGTCAGTTAAATTATATATGTAACTAAATTAAAAAATTAAAACTTACCATTTCATCAAAAGTTTATAAGGGGAGTTTACCTTATATTGTATTTGAGTTTACCTTATATTCAGGCATACATATTCAAGAGAACATTCTTATAAGATAATGTGGTGAGCTGAATCAAGTAAATCTTCACAGAATATAAACTTATTTCACATACTTCAGTTATCTCCTCTATTACATATGACCATACATATGACCATCTTCTTGAGCAATTGTATATTAGGGTAATTTTATAACCAATCAACCCTCTTGTTTTGCAGGTAATAATTTGAACATTATTAGACTGATCCAAGTGTACTGTGTAAATTTGATCACATTTAGTCACGTTTCAGATAATGTGGTTATTCTCTCTCAGACACTAAGATAAAGCTAGGCTTTTAATTGATGGAAGGTTCTAAAGCCATCATCCATACATCATCCACAGCCTCATGAAGGCTTTGAGAGCACCTTAGCCAAAATATTGCTATATACCAATTAAACTGCACAAGAGTTGTGCCTAACAACAAGTATTACATATCATATCAAAGGGAGAACAAGTTATACTCCAAAGACATACACTAAAAAACTAAGCATAGTAGCGTATATCTTTTATCCATTTTTCTGAATAAGATAAGGTCAATAATGAAAAGAATTGGAAAATACTCAGAACCCAGAAAATAATTAACAAGGAAGTGTTGTATAGGAAACCAGTTTTATTTCTTCTGGCTTTTAAAAGTGAAATTAAAAAAAAAATATTTGCAAATGTAACACTCATCAGAACTGAGGAAAGCACAGTAAATCCAGTTGAAATACTTAATCACGCATTTTTAATATTCATACTTATTTAGTGTGTTTGCAAATGCTAATAGTTTATATTTGCTAGTTTTATGTTTTAAGTATTAAGAATAAGTTATATCATTTCTATTAATTTATGTTAAAAATTGGCAGTATTGTGTTTTTGGAAACTCTGAGATGTCTCTGTAATCAATGAAAATTTCCTGAAGAGATAACAAATTAATAGAAAATATTCATTTTGTATACAATGACAAGCCAACCAAAGACTGAAAATATGACCATATCTAATCCTCATTAAAATAAAAGTACTCAAATAAAACATTCTTATTTTCTTAGTGATCATTAAGATAGTGCAAATTTTGCCAATTCTGAAATTAAGGTGCAACACATTGGAGATGGGGAAATTGGGAGGAGAACCTAAATAATTCCACAAATCTTCCATAGAATCAGGCCAGAAAGCTACTCTCTAATACCATTCTAGAAATATTCTGTTGGTGCTAAAATGGTTGTATTTAAAGCTCATTTCCAAAAAGAATGCTGCTACTAACGATAAAGGGAAATAATGGAAGAATTGGATTGAAGTTGCATGTTACTCAAAACGAGGAAGTAACCCTATGAGGTTCTCGCCTGTGTAACAAACTGCCAAATATAACTAGCAACAACAACAACAAAATTACTACCAAAGAGAAATAAACTGGGCTCACAAAGTCTAACTCAAAGTCCCCATTGCACATGCTGAAGCACTCACCATTCTTCCTTTCGTTCAGGGGGGGTAAGTACTGACTGGACTGCAAGGAGAGTTCCTGGAATTCGTGGGCAACAGCTTCACTTTGAGGACTTGGAGCAAGATGGGCTAAAGGTCCCAATTCATCCTCAGTGTCTAGTGCCCCTGGGTGATCCATTGTGTTCCAGCCGCTGGCAATGGGGAGTCCGAGACACCTCTTAAATGTGGTCTGTTGAAGAGACTGTCAAAATAAAGAATGTGTCAGTATGTGGTACATTTATTTTTCTTCAATATGCACAAAAGTATTAAAATGGGATTCCTTGTACTAGTTCAGTTTCACGGCTATGTGACAGTTGCCCTCTCTGGACCTCAGATTCCTGCTAACACTCAGGAACAACGTATTTCCCATCTAACAACCAAGTAAATAAAAGTTGAAAGTATTTTGTATGACATTTTGGACAGTATAAAGAAAAGTTAATAGTTATTGATATCATTAAAGATTTTAATGAATCCTAAAATGAGACAAAAGCCAACTAAAGCTGATGAAAATAAAAAAGCAGTCTGGCTTGAAAATCTATCTTAACTGCCTCAAATTAACCTGATTGACAGAGAAATCAATAACTGAAGCGCCAAAGACATAATAAAAACCTTAAATATGTGACACTGGCTTAGGAATTGAGCAGTGGGCAGCAAAAAAACTTCTACTGAAAGCTAGAAGGATGGTGGTCCATATCATTCAGTGGCAAAACATTTGATAAAACTGTTGCCTGCTTAGTAGGATTTCATACCAGTTTGTTTATTCATTCATTTTTAGGTGGACATGAGTTTCTTATAGTTTTTACCGAAAATAAATATGCTATAAACATTACAAGTATTTTTTTTCCATTGATTTTTTTTGAGAGTGTGGAAGGAAGGGGGAAAGACAGAGAGAGTAATATTGATGTGAGAACACCTTGACTGGTTGCCTCCCTGAGCAGGGGAGATATATGCCCTTGACCAAAACTGAACCTGGAACCCTTCAGTCCAAGGGCCAATGCACTATCTACTGAGCCAAAATGGCTAGAGCTCTTGTACAAGCATTTATATGGATACATGCTTTCACTTCTCTTGGGCAAATACCTAGGAATATAAGGACTGAATCATATGGCAGCTACACATTCAGATTTTAAAGAAACTGACAAACTGTTTTTCAAAATGGTTGTGCCACTTTGCACTCTTACCAGCAGTGAATGAGAGTTCCACTTGTTTCACTTTCTAACCAACACTTGATTATGATCAATCTTTTATTTTAGTTATTTTATTTTCATTTTTAAAATTAGATGGTTTATTTTATCATTTTGAAAGTTCTTTATATATCCTGAACAAAAGTCCTTTATCAGGTATGGAATTTGCAAATATTTTCTCCAAGTCAATGTTTTATCTTACTATACTCTTAATAGTGTTTTGTAAAGAACAGATGCTTTGAATTTGATGAAGTCCAATTTATCAATTTTTTCTTTTATGAAACATGTTTTTAGTGTTGAAGCTAGGAAATCTTTGACTAACCCAAGGTCACAAAAATTATCTCATGTTTTGTTTTAGATATTTTATAGTTTTTGTTTTACATTTAAGTCTATGATCCACTTTGGGTTAATTTTTATTTATGTTGTGAAATCTGAATCAAAGTTTTCTTTTTTGGCATAAGGACATCTGATTGTCTCAGCACCATTTGTTGAAAAGGTAATCTTTTCTTCACTAAACTGCCTTAGCAGCTTTGTTGCAAGTCAACTAACCATGTATATGATTGATTTCTTGACTCTATATATTTAGAATTCAAAGTAAAAATGTTAACACTGTTATAATAATATATATGTAATACAGATTTGCTTTTGTTCCAATATTTTTTTTCTAATTTAATTTCTGGTTTGATTACTTGAATGTTCTTGTATTTCAAAAGACTGTGAAATTCATAGAATAACAATATCTTAACTGAAAGGTATCTCAGAACCAAGGTCTAGTATAAGTAATTCTTAACCTTCCTCACAATATGATAATCATTCGAGGGGAAAAAATCCCTCATGGGTTAGGGAAGTGGTCAGCAAACTCATTAATCAACAGAGCCAAATATCAACAGTACACTGAAGGAAATTTCTTTTGAGAGCTAAATTTTTTAAACTTAAACTTCTTCTAACGCCACTTCTTCAAAACAGACTTGCCCAGGCCATGGTATTTTGTGGAAGAGCCACACTCAAAGGGCCAAAGGGCCGCATGTGGCTCAAGAGCCGCAGTCTGCTGACCACGAGGTTAGGGCAAGGGGGAGGATCTACAAAAATTTTGATAGAATTGGTCTTGATAGAGTGATACTAATGTGTAGCCAGGTTGAGATTAATTCATTCAGTGAGGCCCGCCCCCTATTTTATAGAGACAAAGTCATCTGCCCAATGAGTGGGAAGAGAAGTCAGTAGCAAACTATTACATCATGTGTGAAAAAAAACAGAATATAGGTAGGTATGTAGTGGTACAGAAACCTAAGAATTAAATTCCTAATTTTATTTGGGTAAACTAGGAAAGTCTTGAAGGGTAAATAGAAGTTGGAAGGCACAGAAATCTTTCTCATCCAAGTATAGTGGTATGAATAGTTATTGCAAAGGTTTGATGGGACCAGTGTAGAAAGGGCATGGCATTGGGGGTCGGGGGAGAAGACAAGCTGGTGTGGTAAATTAAAGCCCAATTGTGACATAATATGACTCTATGTGATCAGACTGGTATTTTAGAAAGGTAATTCTGACAGAGGTAAGTAACTAGTAAAATCTCTTGCTAAAATACTGAAGGACTAAGTTAAGATGGTAGAAATGCAGAATAGGGAATGAATTCCAATTAACATATAAGAGACAAAGTATCAAGGTTTGATGACTGGCTAATTTGAAAGGTAAAGGAAAATAAAGAATTGAGAATGGTGGAGGCTTTTAGATTTGGCAGTTGTAAAAGCTGGAATGAGTAGTAGGGAAGATGAAAGTAAACTGAGAATCTACAGGACCCTTGGAGGGAGCTCTAAAAAGATGGGTGGCTAGAGATATGGAGATTTAATTTTTGGAAAAATACTTAACCTCTCAGAGACTCAGTTTCATAACTTAAAATGTGAAAATAAGAAAAGGGCAGAATATTTACTACATTCCCACTAAGCTTGGCATTAAGCCTCATCTTTGCATTCCTTAATTTTTTTCCTAATGACCTCTCTGTGGGTAGGTATTAATCTCATTTTACAGATGAAAAAACTAAGGCTTGGAAAAATTAAACAAATTTGAGAAATTAAATTTGAAAAATCAAAGCCAGGATTCCCAACTTTAGAGCCCATACTCTTTAACAATAACACAATAATTATGTGCCAAAAATGTCAATAAGTTGGAGCAAATAATTGTGAGGGACAGTAATATTTGGGGGAGGGAAGAGTCATGAGAAAGAGGAAGATAAAGCTTTGAAAAGATCCATTTATACATTTTTTTTTAACATCCACATTGAAGGCCTAGAGCATTAGGCACTGGGATGGGCACTAGAGTTCCAATGACAATTCAATCATATCCCTGTATCTCCTGGAGGTCCAAACCACATCAATTAGGCAATTATAACCTAACATTAGTGCTTAACAGGAGTTAGTAGAACATGCTTGCTTCGTGGCAGATGAAGGAAACCCTCTCCTTATTATGCTTTAGAAAACTCTCACAGTATGACTAACTTTAATTAAACTCCAGACCAGAAAAAAAGAAAAGAAAAGAAATCTACAGTCATAGATGTACTAAATAAAAAAAAAAAAACATTTTTGACATCAGGTAAAAGTGTTGTAAATAAACAACTTCTAAGCAGGGTTTTTATTTGTAGCAGCTGGATTTTTATATATCACCATAAAATACAGAGCAAAAATGTTATAAGAATGCCAAATTCTGAGAATACACCATATAGAAAAAGTTACATAACTATTCTATGCTTGAAGTGGCAGGTATAGTTCTAAAAATGCTAGTGAGATGATTTATTTTTTAACTTGTTTATTGGAAATTTGTCTCAAATGAAAATAACATGGAACAAATTACATACTTAACATCTTCAAAAATGATGCATTCTTAAGAACTACAACTAATACTTAAGTAAACACTATTTCTGAAATATTCACTGTGATCCATCCATAAATAAAAATTTGAATTAGCAAAATTTAAAACACATGTGGCTTTTAAATTGCCATATAAAAAGATATGAAGAACTAGAAAATTTTATTAGTTCTCCAAACCCAAGTCTTTAAACAGCTTGAACAATTGCATTTTCCAAGTTTACTAAAAGTGAATGATTCTCAGAGAGTAAGAACTGATTGGAGAATTAATTTTAAGCTAAGATGATTCCTATATTTAGCAACTACTGGGTCAAGAAGAAACTCTAATTTTGTTGAACCACAAATCAGCATTTGATTTAAATGCTAAGAATATTTTAAACATATTAAATGTTTTTTATATATATATATTGATTTCAGAGAGGAAGGAAGAGGGAGAAAGAAATAGAAACATCAGTGACAAGAGAGAATCATTGATTGGCTGCCTCCTGCACATCCGCACTGGGGATCGAGCCCACAGCCCAGGCATGCACCCTTGACTGGAAGTGAAACTGGGAGCCTTCAGTCCGCGGGCCCATGCTCTACTCACTGAGCCAAACCAGTTAAGGCATAAATGTTTTATTTAACAAGATAATAAGTATACTGTACTCCAATTTCCCAATTCTTTAAGGAAGGGAAGAAAGAAGGATGGGAAAAGGAAACAAAGACAGAAAGAGAGAAAGGAGAAGAGAAAGGCATTCTAAAAAGAGGGAAATAAGTTTTCTAACTCTTCACTCTTTTTGATGTTAGGAATCACTAAAATGTAAATAAAACTATTTTGCTAAATTCAAAAGTATTGCAAAATACATGGAAAAAAAATCAAAGTTTAAATTATTGTGACTAGTTCAGTAGCAGAGGTGGGACCATGAGTCCCCTACCTTGTAATCCAGTTCTTTGGTTTCTAATTAACCAGAGGAGAAACCCTATTATCTGAGGCAACCATGCCAGTAGTTTGGTGCTAAACCGAAAAAAAATTCAGTTAAAGAAGAGTCATTAAAAATGATACTCAATTCTGAAACATTGTCTTTTAAATTAAACTGCATAATGTCCATTTGTTTGCCAGT